AGGGATGAAGGAAGGAAGGAAGAGGGAAGGAGGGAGGGAGGAAGGAAGGAAGAAGGAAGGAAGAAGGAAGGAAGGGAGGGAGGGAGGGAGGGAGGAAGGAAGGAAGGAAGGAAGGAAGGAAGGAAGGAAAAAAAAGAAGTTGCATCTTTTGATCTACAGTATCATAAAGCCATTGTTTCAGAACTCTACATTGGATACCTTCTGATACTGACGATTCAGCCACTACAGTTTAAAAATGCACACATCCCTATATTTGTGTATGTGTGTATGCTTGCATGGCACACACGTGTGTATAAAGTATCCTGTGCTGCTGACACACAATGTGCATCTATGTGAAAAGACCGTTTGGGAGCAGCCTTCTGCCTCAAGTCTTCCTTAGCAGACAGGAAAACTGATGGATTGATGGATTTAGTCAATCCCTCTGCCACCACTTCTGATCCCTGAGTGTTTCTTTTGTGCTGTGATGTTTGAATTTGATTTTTCTAACTGATAATCCTAAAATTAATCAGTGGCTTAGGAATCTCTTTTCATTCAACCAAGTACATACTTATCGGGCATCTGCCCTCTAGGAATGTGTGATCTAACAATAGTAAGATGGTGAATTAATATTTTTGTGCTACTCTTAGTGTCTGATTTCTACCTGATCCTCCACATTTTTTTAGACCTTTCGCCTTTTCTGGTTTTCCTCTGTAGAGTTCTCTTTCTGTTAACTCTGTGTTGTTGTGTTGTGGTGGTGGTGGTGGTGGAGGTTTGTTGAACCCTTGATAATTATAATAACCCTTAGCATCTATTTATCCTGGACTTGCATTGAAATGTTTATAGTCTCCAGACTTCCTGCGGTTCTCGGCTTTTCTCAGCTCTGGTCATCCCTCCCCCACTCATGTTTTGTTTAATCCCCTTTGTTAAAATTGGGTAACCACTTGAGTCTTTCATACTTTCCCTTTCCTGGTGGAGTACTAGTCACTTGAGTGCCGCTATTATCACATATAGTTCACCAACGTACAATTTTTAGGTCAGTCCTTGTTCCCTTTTCAGGAACAGAGTCAAAACTGCCTTGCCCGTCTAAAGAAGTCATTTGCCCTCTTGCCATATTCTTACCTGTAAAATCATCTGGTGTGACACAGATTTGTCTTTGGGCACTCCGTCGTAACTGCTGGCCTATTTTGCAGCTTCTTTTCCACCAAATATGGGCAGATCCAAACCATATTGTGTCCTCCCTTACATGCTATGTTTTATACCTTTAACACTCACAACAATGTATTGATCCATCGCCTACCTTCTGTGATTAAGGTCAGAAAAGCCAGACGTAGATGAGGACAACTATTCACTTTTGACCATTGAATTTATGTATTTTTTTGGTGATTTTTTTTTTTTTTTTTTTTTTTTTTTTTTTTTGCCTAGCTCTCTCTTGGGCCACGGTGACTTATTCATTAACAAGTAGGATTAGTACATAAACACCACTATCAGCTTGCGTCTGTTTATAAAGTTAACTCTCAATTATTGAGGGACCAATTAACTAGTCTGGAGGTTATGCGGGCATCACTCAGAACATCACTCAGAGAGTGTGGAGATGACCAAGCAAAAACTCTGAAAGAAAGATTATTCAGTTGTGCTCCATGTGAACAGTAAAGTCTGGGGGAAACTAAACTTATACATTTCAAAGTGCTTTGGGATTAGCTAAGGACAGAAATTCACATGGTGATGGTGAGCAGGGCTTCCTTTTATACTATATAAATGCTTGTCAGTGAGCAATAAAATTAAGGTATTATGAGTGCTAGTAAAAGTTAAAGAGTGTTATTTTTCTGGTATTAAAATCTAGTCAACAAATTATTACCAAATGTTTGCCATCCTATAAAAGGAAATGTTTAGTCGCCCACCTCTAGACAGGAGCTCAGAGAGGGAAGGCCTCAATTATGTTGACTTCAGGCAAGGACTGGCATAATTGACTTAAAGTGTCTTGCATTCATCACACAATAATTGTAATGAACCTTGGATATTACTGAAGTAACTACAAATAGATCTAAGCTGTTGGGGAGACACAAAGATTGATTTCGCATAGCACTTCACATTTTTTTCTTTATACTAGTTTGAGGGATAACCCATTTTAAATGATAACTCAATGTTCCTAAAATGTACGTGTAAACTAGAGATATTTCAGGCATAGTTTTTCAGTGGATTGTATTACAATTCAGAGGTGCTTCAAGGGGCGCCTGGATGGCTCAGTTGGTTGAGCATCCAACTTCAGCTCAGGTCACGATCTCGTGGTTCATGGGTTCGAGCCCTGCATTGGGCCCTGTACTGACAGCTCAGAGCCTGGAGCCTGCTTGGGATTCTGTCTCTCTCTCTCTCTCTCTCTCTCAAAAATAAATAAACATTTTTTAAAAAGGTGCTTCAGAATCCCTTAAGACCCAAAATGTGGTGGCTCCTAAAATTTTACCTTTCACAAGATTCTATCTATCTCCCCATTCTTAACCACTGAGTACTTATTGTTTCATAAATAAATAGTGAAGAATCCTAATTTTAGTACCAATTAAGAAAATATTGTAGTGAATATTTTAGTATTGGTTTCTAAAGCCAAACCTTTTCAACTTGTGGAATCATGCCACAAGTATTAAATTTATATACATATAAAATTAGTGCTTTACTCCAGAAATGGATGGAGTGCTTTACTTTCTTGGAACCCTCTAGAATGAGGGTCAGCAATTGCTTCTGTAATTGACTAACTAGTAAGTATTTCAGGCTTTGTGGCACAAGAGGCAACGTCAAGGATACTATGTAGGTACTTCTCCAAAAAGAGAAAAAAACACATATGTACAACTTTTCATCAATACAGATCTCCTAATGAGCACAGTGGAATTTATTTAAGGATAGTGAAATATGCATTTCACATACTTTTCGTGTGTTATGAAATAGTCTCCATCTTTTACTTTTTTCAACCATTTAAAAATGTAGAAACCATCCTGGTTTGTCATCCTGACCATACAAACATAGGTGGGCCGGATTAGGCCCAGGGGCTGGCGTCTGCCTACCCTTACTTAGCCTGCAACACACGCTCTTTGACAGTGATTAGTCCATAACCCAGCCCCAGCGGGAATTCTGTGAGGGCTTTAAGTTGCTGAGCAAGTTCCATATTCAGAGTCCACGGCTTTCAGTGAAGTCCAGGATTAGGGGCCACTGTTCTAGAGGCGATCACTGACTTTTACGAGGTATTTCTAAGGCCCTGGTAGTTCCTAGGTACCATGTGACCACTCTTGGGAATTCCTACCCTACCAGCTAATGCTGTTGGAGACGCTGGGAGTAAATAACTGTCTAGGTGACCTTGTTATTCATGAATCAGTTGTCCCCACCATTCTTCACGGTTTGTTTTTATAAGACCCGGAGAAAGCTGAAATTCCACCCCTCTGGTTCTCAGAGGAAAAACCTTCTCATATTTTCAAATATTTAGTAAATAATTTAGGTTCGAGTGAGTATCTGAAACAGATTTAAGTGTCCAGACCATTTCAGGTTCAGCCGGCTAGGAATTTTTTTCTTTAAAAGGTTCTTTACCCCCAAGATGGGTTCTTGTTAGCTCAACTGTCAGGCAGGGCTGCAGACGAGGTATAGGCAGGATTAAAATTGCTTATTAAAACTGAATGTGTGAGCTTGCCGGCTGCTTAACAGGTGGCTGTTAGCCAAAGCTAAGCCCTTGAAATGCTCAAACTCAATGGAATAGTTACCCTGGGGCAGAGGTGGTGGCAAGAAAACCAAAATGTCCATTTGAAAATAAATAAGGAGCTCAGGAGTCCCTGCCTAGGCCCAAGGGTTGTGCTTAGAAGAACTTGCTTCTTCTCAATAAACAGTGTTAAAGAATGAAGTTTTTACTCAAGGAGAACGTAAAGATGGCACAGTATAGTTCGTGGCAAAACCTGAAAAAAATCCAAACATTTTCAGCAAGCCCTTTGCACTTTTTATATGGACTTCTAAGTAATTTACAACTTCTTTTCATACACTTGAAGCCTATAACAAACCTAAACAAGTTACAGTATATTCCAAAGAAAGCAGAAGTTAACCAGGAAAATTTCCCCGAAAAAGGAAGGAAAAAAATTACAGAAGTTCAGAGCTACTGCAAATAGGAAGCATCACTTACATGCATTAGGCTTAAATATTATTAATTGATCACTATTTATTAGTGATTAATGATTTTTAATCGGGAAAACCCACTCACCTACAGGTCTTTCTTTTAATGCAATAGTTTTCGAAGAGAATTGTAATAATGGTTCCTCTCACTTCTGTAAAAGGCAAAGGCAGAAAGCATCCAGGAGAAACAGCAGGGTGACTTCAGCGAGAAATTTACTATGAAAGTCAGAGAGGAAAGAGAAGTAAAACAAAGTACTGTTGTGTGGTTCAAATGCAGAGTTTTTACAATGAGAGATTCTTGCTGGTTTTGAGACAACCATGAATCATCAAATTGATAAACTGTGCCTTATCGTGGAAGCATGCCTGGGTGGCAGTTTCCAAGAGATTTCCATCTCATTATATAACAATATCACATCAGCTAATTCCTGGAGCTTCACGTCTCATTCAGTGAGAAGTATGGCGTGTCCTTACAGCCTTACATCACAATGCCTAGTTGGGCTGGGTCAGCCCTAGACCTGGTCCTCAGACCTTAAAGCCCCTCCCTGACTGCACCATCACCTTTCCCGGTGCCTGGTGTTGCCCCTTCCTCTGAAAGCTCTTGGCTGCCATGCATTCTCTACTCACCCTAGTGAGTCTTGTCAGTTTTGAGGGGCCAAGTTCTTTCTGTCCTTCCTAATGTGCCAATTAGCTACTTTGAGAAAATCATCTACAGTAGAGTGCTCTTTGGGAAGCCCCTTCCTTCCATGTTGGCATGTGGTTTGTTTTTTTTTTTTTAAGAAGTTTATTTATTTTGAGAGAGACAGAGATAGCACAAGTGGGAGAGGAGCAGAGACAGGGAGAGAGAGAGAGAGAGAGGGAGGGAGGGAGGGAGAGAGAGAGAGAGAGAGAGAGAGAGAGAGAGAATCTCAAGCAGGCTCTGCCCTGTCAGTACAGAGACCGAGGCAGGGCTTGAACCCACAAAACTGTGGGAACATGACCTGAGCCGAAGTTGGATGCTTAACCGACTGAGCCACCCACGCGCCCCTGGCATGTGGTTTTTAATGGGCTTTGGGGAGACGGCTATGCAGGTGAAAATTTCAAGTCAGACTAGGGGGTGGGTTGGTGAATATATATATTGGCCCTCACTTCATACTCCATAGCCTCCCATTCTACCTATACTTAGGGCTGTTCCTATTCATGTGATGTAGCACAAGAAAGCAAGAAAGAACAGATGCTATTAATAATGCACCAAGAGAAACCACCAGGTGCACACCAAGGCACTGTCTACCTTATAGAGTCCCTGCTAGAAATGTACTGCATTTAACCATGGTTTGTTGTTAATCCATTAAATGCTTCCATTTCTTTTTAAACCTTATCACTGATTCTATCAGTCATTTACTAAGAATGGGGTATTACAGTGGAGAAAAGAGAACTATCAAAGAAATTAGAGCCACATTGAAAAGAAAAGATTCCCACATGTGGAACAAGCTGGAAAATAGCACACAGAGGGATAAACTACATGGTTACAGATAATAAAGGCAATACATGTATCAAGCTCTTGAGATTAGGACTTTCATAAGAGAGAAAAACCTGTGAGAGCCCTTTGCATTTCTAATGTTTTTCTTGACAAGTTGTGCTCTAGTTTATATACCTTCAAATCCTATTATGTTATGTCTCCCTAACAGGGATCCTTGGAACATTTTTTAGGGCCTCCTTTTGAGTTAGGGATATCATCCGGCCCCCTAGGTAAAGACGAGGCTGGGCAAGTCCGATTCATTTGTGAAATAGAACCTCTAATTTTTTTAAAAAAAAAAACGGCCATCCCAATCTCATTTTAGGTGGACAGCAAGAAGTTGTTAGAGCTTTCACCTTTCTTTAATCTGCCCCTTTCTTCCTCACTTCCCTTCTGTTTTCTGTAATTGATAGTGGGCCAAAAAGAGGAGTGAGGTGGTGGTGGGGCTGGTGGAACTTTGGTAGGACCGGCAGCCTTAGGGCCAGGCAGTGCTGATGGAAAGAGGAAAGAGGAGAGTGGAACAGAGGGGCTTTCGGGAGAACCGGAAGTCTGCCTGTAAGGGCCATGCCTGTGTAAGGAGACAAGGCAGATTGCCTGTATAGGTGATATCACTTGTGGCAGAAGTCAAAAGCAACAATGGTAACTTGGGATATGGCTTAGGCTCTTTGAAAGAATGCCTCTTGTGTAATAATAGAAAAGAATCTATTTACCTCTAATGGCTTTTTTTTTTTCTCTTTTCAACGTGCAGACTTCTTTTCCTGTGAATCCTCCACTTGCAGCTAATCCTGCCATGGCTTTCAATCCTTACTTACCTCATCCTGGGATGGGCCTGCTTCCTGCTGAACTTGTACCGAATGCACCTGTTCTGATTTCTGGAAACCCGCCTCTCGCATTGCCAGGAGCTGCTGGTCCCAAACCGATGCGTTCAGATAAACTGGAGGTATTGGTGTAGAAATATATAAATACCTGTAGGATAGTATCAACCCCACGCAGAAAGCGACATTCTCAGGGCCCAGCGTTTTGAATGCTTTCAATAAATACACCTGAGTTTTTAGCTTATGAAGTATAACCTCAGAAAAATGTTAAATGTCTTACTACTGCCATTGTAGCCTGTTATGCAACGCATTGATTCAGTTGTACACAGGTCAGACAGTGTCCTAGTGTGCCCAGACACGGACACTGCATCCCCTTTGCTATGGCACAAGAGGGCTGGTGGGAATGTTCCTTTAACCCAGGCTCCAGCTTTACAGACTGGGATCGCCATATTGTTAATGAGTCTCTACTTGGTAGAATAATCCAACTGGAAAAAAAAAAAGTAGATTAAGTCTCTATGAATGCAGAATATTAAGGGAGTATCATAGTATGCAAACCTTTTTCTCCATCTTAAGAATGATGGACTAGATAATGAATATCCCCGCTGCTTATGAAAAGGCAATCTAAAAGAAACTTCAAACAGCTTTTTTGATTTATGGAAGTCCTTCAGTCTTCCCTTGTCATTCTTCCTACACTGAAATAAATAACTAGTCCATTTCATACAAAGGCAACTCCACTGGCTGACTTAAATGCCTGGCATTTGTCTCATAATGGAATCTGACTGTACACGCAACTCAGTTGTGATCCACAATTTTGCTGGGAAAAACTGCATTGCTGTGTGACAAAGACTCATCTTGGACTTTAGCAAAATAACCCCCTCTTGAAAATTTGGCTAATTACACTTCAGGCTGTGAATTAAGCGGAAGATTAAAAAGTGGTTTTCAACAATACTTTTAAAGCAGACAACTTTCCTTTGGGCATAGTGGAATATTTTTTTTTTCTAGGAATAGAAACATCTATGTGGACGTCTCACCGGGAATATGGCTTCACATTTTCCTTCAGCTTTTGTAGAATTTTCCTAGATAGATGACAAAATCACGTCTACTCTTGCTCTTACATTCACTGGCAAAATAAATAAAAGCTAATCAGCTTCCAGGCATCCATGTGATATGTGTTGTCACTGTCACTGTAATTTAAGGTTTGCCGAGAATTCCAGCGTGGAAACTGTACCCGTGGTGAGAACGATTGCCGCTACGCTCACCCTACAGATGTTTCCATGATCGAGGCAAGCGATAATACTGTGACCATCTGCATGGATTACATCAAAGGGCGATGCTCCCGGGAGAAATGCAAGTACTTTCATCCTCCTGCTCACTTGCAAGCCAAACTCAGGGCAGCTCATCACCAGATGAACCATTCAGCTGCCGCCGCGATGGTAAGAACGGACCAGGGGTTGTAGGCTGTTTGGGGGGAAATGTTAGTACATTCCTCACCTTGTCTAATATCCTTATAACCATAGTCTTGAATAGTCATGAGTGGATCGTAGTATGAAGAGCCAAGGTTATAAGCTGGAAAAGAGAACACCTATTTATTCTGCTTCACTTGCTCAAATTTTCTAAAGATAATTGTTTCAAAGCCTCACTAATGATTTTAATCTACTGTGCTTTTTCTCCCATGTTTTGGAAAAGAGTAAATTCTATAACTTAAACACTAAATTATTTTTGAGTAGTTTTGATAGCCTAGCTAATCTTAAGATCCCAAAAAGGCAGAAAGTTGTCTCTCTACCCTGTAAGCCACCTTCATGGACATTTTGTCAGTAAGGTAGCAGGTGGGAAAAATATATGCATAACTCTACAGTGTGATAGGTTGAGAAATAGAAATTATGATTAGTTAAGTTTGTCATAGCTGTCAATTACTTTGAAAATCTGCTTGTAGGGGCGCCTGGGTGGCTCAGTCAGTTAAGCGGCCGACCTCGGCTCAGGTCATGATCTCGCGGTCCATGAGTTCGAGCCCCGCATCCGGCTCTGGGCTGACAGCTCAGAGCCTGGAGCCTGTTTCGGATTCTGTGTCTCCCTCTCTCTGACCCTCCCCTGTTCATGCTCTGTCTCTGTCTCAAAAATAAGTAAACGTTAAAAACATTTTAAAAAAAAGAAAATCAGCTTGTAATTTTTTTCCTTTTTTTTAACGTGGGCCTTTCCTCATGTAATAGGGTATAATAATCTCAATAAGGGACAAAACCCTGAGGAAACCTCATGTTTCCTGGCCGTGGAGAAAAAAACCACCTACAGGATCCTGAAGCCCATGACAGGACCTTACCTTTTCATGAAAGAGATAGATTTACAGTAAAACCTTGGTTTGTGAGCATAATTTGTTCTGGGAACATGCTGATAATCCAAAGCACTCGTGTATCAAAGTGAATTTCAAGAACCATTGGCTCAGTTTGGATCATGTGACATTGGGCATCACGTACTAATCGTATTGCAAGACGTCGCTCGTTTATCAAGTTAAAATGTATTAGAAATGTTTGCTCGTCTTGCGGAACACTCACAGAACAAGTCACTCGCAATGCAAGGTTTTACTGTATTTTCAAACATCCCTATTTGTTAAGGTTTTCCTTATTGAGTTGAAGTTGATCTTGGTGTAACTGGAACTTAAACTTATTTTATTACACAAAATAAATCAGTCCCTATTCCGTATGAGTGGGACTCTCGTGTCTTTTTTTCTAAGGCAAATACTCCAGATTTCTCCAGACTTTTCTTGTAGATTCTGGACTTGCTTCACCTCCTCTGTTCTCTCAGAACTGAACCCATCACTTCATGAAAGTAGAAGAAACTTATTTTCTCCTTCGATCTGTAAAACAGTCTGTTAATGAATTTTAAAAAGACTTCACCAAATGGTTTTGGTCTTAAGTTCTTTTGAAGGAGAGGATTTTAAGCTGTGAAAATAGCAAGGTATCCAGAGTGTTCACTGCAGATTTTAAACCTCCAGTTTTTTTTGATTACTTGTGTCAGTGGCATGGAGTTCAGAAGCAGTGTGGGTCTATGATACACAAGAGAAATACAGTTTCCCCTAAAAATAAAGGTTCTCATATGCATGGGATGTACCATTGTGTACCTGTTCTGTGCTCAGTCACGGGGCCTTCATATGTATGTGTCCATTTCTCATGATTTGAGTGTGTTTGGTAGGATGCATGTAAGCCAGTTCCAAATCTGTTGAGAATTAAATATTATCTAGTAGGCCTTCATTTGGTACTTGTGAATATCAATATAACATTCCTCTCTGAGTAGCTGCTCAGAGCAGAGTCTTAGTAGTGTGGTCAGATTGGCCCACAGGAATTGGTTTGAGGTAAGATCAAATAAAGGAGGCTTCCTGAAGAACTTCAGGCTTTCTATATTTTGAAGGATTCAGAGTTGAAATGTTTCGTAAAAGAAAGTTTTTTTTACCCTCTTCGTATTCATGGGCGTAGCTCAGGTTGACTTCACTGAAGCAGCATGTATGCATTTTTTAAAAGCAAAAGACACGAAGAGTAAATATTTAGTTTCAAAAAAAAAAAAATAGAGATACCTTTAGACTTCTTTATCCACAGGAGAAAGAAGGTCATGGCATGCCCCTTTTTGGCATATGGAATGCTCATTACTCAACACAAGTGTTCCTGTCTCCTTAAGAATTTGGAGCATACCTAATTCTTGTTGCTGGGACATGTCTTTTAAGTCACATGCAATTTGCTGAGAAAAAAAAAATGTAGAAAGTCATGTCCAACTTCTCCAACGAATCTGATCCAGGAGCAAATTTGACCGAGTATCATGGGCACCGTGAGGTTTTGAAAGAAGTGTAGACATGAAAGGAGAGTTTTAAATTCTAATACATTTTAGAATTAAACCTTACAAGGACTTAACGAAGCTGGTGGTACATCCCGAAATGCACAGTGAGCATCTATAAATGAAAATTGCACATATTTTACTATGTTATCTGGGTGAGGTGCGTCATGAAGAAGAAAATTATTTACTTTTCCCTTACATACTAGTTGGAAGAAGCACAGTTCTAGAATTTGCACTGGAAGTCCTTATATAGATTGGATTTTGTTTTATGGAGCTACAAGATCAAATTCTGACCTCCTGACATCTGTTTGACCACCTGTATACCATTTATCTCCTAGATCCACGTTGGAATTTTAACTGGCAAAAATCTCTTCCCTGCTATATCTGTTGCTTCTGCCCATCTCATTGTAATAGATTAATGGATGGACATCCCGGAGATGTTAATTTTAAATGAGTATTTGCTGTTCACAGCTTTGGGTCACATCGTGCTCAAATGATGAGGTCCTTTGTTATTTGCTTAAATGAGTGAAGTTGAAAACCAGTATGTTTTTTCCTTGTCTGTTTATTTTCTGTGTTAGGCTAAGTACTTATCTAGTCAGTTGCTCAACAGATACCCTTGCAAAGGGTTCCCGGGCCATACCTTTATCTAACTGCTGCTTTGCTCGCCTTGAGGACATCTTGTTACTTTCTTTGATGCTATTTATTATTCCATCTCTCCCTCGCAGGCCCTTCAGCCTGGTGCACTTCAACTGATACCAAAGAGATCGGCGCTTGAAAAGACCAATGGTGCGACTCCGTTCTTTAACCCCAGTGTTTTCCACTGCCAGCAGGCTCTGGCTGGCCTGCAGCTCCAGCCACCAGCATATATCCCTGCAGGTGAGAACGGGGACTCCGGGCTGCGCAGGTTTCGCGATGGTGTGAATGTATAGAGTGCGCACCAGCTGCCAGAGTTTTGATTCGAGGACCGTCGACAGGTGTTTTGTCCGGAAATCAGACAAGGCAGTTATGCTTGATCTGCTAGTCTGGAGAACCCCAGTTTTGCTATGATTCCTGCAAATGAATGGGTTGAAATCAAACTAGGCAAAATGGTCAACATTTTTCTTTTTTGGCATGTCTTAGTGTTTGCTTCTTAAGATTGATTCACTTGGTTCAGTCTCAGACTAATTCCTTGACTCTTAGGTATCCCTTTGAAAGACAGTGGTCACCCCTCAAAAAAAATGTTTCACAGTTTCAGCGTTGCAATAATATATAGTCTATATATCTTTGATATGCCAAAGATAGTTATAATAAAACTACCCTGGAACTTACAGTGTCGTTATAAGACAGTATACAGTCATATATATATATATATATATGTAAATATATATATATGTAAATATGTGTGTGTATATATATATATACACACTGTCCTATAACTGTACCATATACTATCTTATAATGACACTGTAGGTATAGTTGTATATACATATATATATATGTACATACATATATATATGTATAAAACACATAGTTTTAGCCTTTAACTCTTATAGCAGTTAATATAAAAAAATATAGCAGCTTATCATATTTTCCTGACACAATGCAGGATATTTGGTTACCTTCTACATTCAACTGTATCTAATAGCATAACAGTTTTATACCAAATTGAATAGAAAATTTTGTTCAAATAAATATCATATGTGAGGAGAAATACCTTTCTTCCTATGGTTCAGTACTTTAAGAGTGAGCATATAATCTCTTAGGGATAAATGGAAAATCCTAATCACTGAGAGTAGAGTAGTTTTTTGGGTTTTGCCAGAATCATAAATGCCCCAGTTTGGCAACTATTATGAAGTGATACTGACATGCTTTAAAGTTAGTTTAGAAAACTTTATTAATTATGTAAACATACTAAGCACATGGTATTATACACCTGCCCTTGAAACAACCTGTTGGTTAACTGATAAATTAATCAGCTAATTTGTTTGGAAAGAAGACCTAAAAAAAGTCTTTATTTACTAACCACAGTAGTTCTTTATGATATCACTTTAAAAACACAGTTTTTAGACTTTTTTGCTGGATTTGGCTAATTTAAAGTCTGGTTTCCTGAGCACAATGTCAGAAGACTCCCTTTCCCCTTAATCAAAAACAAAACTAAAACCTGTCGGGCTGAGCGCCCCCTGTTGATGAAAAGCCTGTTTGCTGTATGTTCATAGTCCAGTCCAGGGTTGTGAGAAAGAGGCTGTGGTAAGATGTGCCCAAACTAAATATGTAATTGAAGTGAGGTAATTCCTTTAAAGAAAACTTAATGTTCGCTCTTATACCTAAGAATCCAAGAATTACTTTGATTACCTGGGTTGGTGATCTTAAAACTGAGCTATAATTATAAGCATGGGAAATTACTGGATTTGCATGTGCTCATTAATTAATATTGCAAAGAATATCTTTCGGGTTAAAAATTATTTCTCTCAGTAAAGATGTAATAATGAAATCTCTCTCCTTTACTTTTCACGCTTTTCTGCATGGTGTACAGGGCCCATACTGTGCATGGCACCCGCTTCAAGTGTTGGTAGGTTTTGTACAAACATTCTCAACTTTTTCTAATCTGAAAAAAAAACGTGCTTTTCTGTCATGACTGTGAAAGAGATGAGTGACTGAGTGATGTGGCTCCTGGGCCACTGGCTTGGGGGGAAGGGCAGGTGGAGTTGGGGCACAAAGAAGAGAGAAAACAGACAAGGTAAAGCAGGTTGAAAATGTTGTTGGAGTCTACCTTTGCCATCAGGAAAGCTGAGCATACTTATGACAAACGTTTCAAGAAGCTACTTCTGTCTCCGTTTCCGCCACTGTGGCTACCAGACCTTCCCCTCTCCTACTGTTCTGATGCACCTCTGTTGTGACTGTAACAGTTTATATGTACCCATTATATCTCAGAAAAGCAGTTGCGTTGCTGAGCATAGGCAGGCTAGGGCACCTCATCCTGACTAAGAAGAAAATAAGACAGTTCTGCACTTTTGTATTTTAAAGCTGATGTCCTAGCTGCATTTTGACATTTTCTGAGGATTTAAGACGTAATAGGGTGCTGTTTCATATCTTTGTGGAATCTCAACACTGCTACGCTCTGGGGTCCTAGTTGGTCGCCACTGTGGCCAAATACTAATCCTGCCATGTGTCTGTTTGCGTCCTACAAATTGCAGCTGAAATATTTTGAAACATTTCCTTATCTAGCCAGAGTGGACACTTTTGTTCTTAGCTTTACATCTGTGACTAAGACATTTTAAAAGATTTCAAATGTATAATTTGTAAAGTATCACAAAATAATCCTTCCCTCCCCCCCCCAAAAAAAAGTTATTCATGAGATCTAAATCATTCAATACTCAAATGTTGAGAAAGGATGAGTTAAGCAGAGTGAGAGCATTCTGTAGTGTTCTAGAATGAAGTGCCATGTGCATGGAAACCAGGCCCAACAGAACCCTTTCAAAATGATTCTTTGGGATTATGTAATTTTTAACAGTCAGTCACATGCAGATCCTTTAATTAGTCACCAACACAATATGGTGTCCCTCTTAAGACCATTTTTAGGGACACCTGGGTGTCGGTTAAGTGTCTGACTCAGTCGGTTAAGTGTCTGACTCTTGATTTTGGCTCAGGTCATGATCTCATGGTTCACGAGATGGAGCCCCGCATTGGGCTCTGCACTGACAGCGCAGGGCCTGCATGGGATTCTCTCTCCCCCTCTTTCTCTGCCCTTCCCCTGCTCGTGCATCCGCAGGTGCACACACACTCTCACACACGCACATGATAAAAATCAATAAAAGCCCATGTTTACATCGCCCCTACTGCAGAAGATAAGAAAGTGACTTGTTTCTGGTACAGGAGTTCCCAGCTCCTATAGTCCATGGGAACCAGGCACGGACCAGCAGAAAATAGCTCTGTGTGCTACAGGGAGGAATTATCCCACCCTACCCCCCTCCCCCACCATCTCATATCAATCCAGTGCTTTTCATCCTATTTGAGAGCTTGCCACGGCTTAACCTTCATCCTGTTGGTTGCCCAGAGTAGGTGCAGAACCCAAAAGGGACTAGTGTTACTGAGGGATTGGCTGTCCCCTGAAGGAAATGGAAACATTTCCACTGATACTGATGGGAGCATCGTACACATGTGGTTAGAACAGACATCTGCAAGTTGGGAAAACGTGTCTGTGTCTTCACATTTTGTGACTCCGTACCCCTGTCTTTGCACCTAAGAGCTCTGTGTAGGAATGCAAACTGCGTGTTTCAGTGGCACTGCATCCTGTATCGTTGCTGTGCTCCTAAAGGGAAAACAAGAGTGTTTGTAGAATCGGCATGTGATACAGTAAGGGGTGTCTATAGGTAACAGGTAACCGGAGATGCACATAAGGGCCAAGTACAGGATTTCTGTTGATCACCATTTGGGGTACATCTGTGGTTTCTGTGACATGGTGTATATTGATCTTCCTCTCTCCGTGCCATTCACTTGCTCTGTAGACTTTCAGAAAATCTGAATTCAATGGATGTAGACATAAATTACTCTATATGCACGCTCACCATTCACACGTTAATTCCTTCGTTTGCTTTCCAAAATGAGCTAGGAATGAGAAAAGCACCTAAAAAGCTTTCAAAATGGGCTAGAGACTAGAAAAGGCAAAAAGAAACTGAGGGAGATGTTACAGCTGCTAGCCATACAGTCATGGCTGTAATAAGTGGGATGAAGACCAGATTTTGCCATATATTTACCATGAAGCACCCTGTGTGTTTGTTTGATAAATAGCCTAGATTTCCAAGGGCTTTGCCAAAGCTGTACTTAAAAATCTGTGTGCATAGTCCACTGTATTCTTCATATCTGCTCCCCTACCATACACAGGCCCACCAATCGAACTGCCTTGTTGTTGTTGTTGTTGTTGTTGTTGTTGCATGTAGATCAGGTAAGTACATCTATAGTTGTGTCTTTGCACCTGCAAATGTAGTGACGATACTCAGGTCTATAAGTTAGTGAACCCAAACACCAATCCACACTTCCCTACTCACACTCAAATGTGCAAACCAGCCACTTGTCTGCTTCACTAGGTATTCCTATAGATAGCCTTGGTAAAATCAGATTCTGTCACATGCACTCCTTGTAACCCTTTCTGAAAATGTGGCCTTTTAAGTCAACTAGAATGTGATTCTGCTAAAGAAAAAACAAAAACAAAAAACGAAAAAACAAAAAAAAAACTAACTGGTTGAGAATGATTCCATTTTCCTTAATGGTAACTATAATTGGCTTTCCCCTTTTCTCTTTTTAAATTTTTCCCCCTTCCACGCTGTGTTGCTTTGCACTGACTGTGATTGCATGTTGCACCCTGGTGTATCCATCGTGATGATGTCACATGGCTTGTTGCTGTGATACCTACCACGCCCCATTCCATCGTGTATGTCATGGCTGCATAAATCCTCCACCCTTCCGTGTGTTGCTTCCATGGTTTCCTACTGAAAGTGCCCATGATGCACGGTGCAACACCTACCACTGTGTCTGCAGCAACACCACCTGCCGCCAGCGTTCCGTTCGCTGCAACAGCCGCAGGCAATCAGGTTTGGCCATTTATTTTACCTGTTCAGATAACTACAGCGTGTTGGTAAGGCGCAGTATATGCTTTTTGGATTGGCGAGAGATGATCCAGATTCCTATGTGTCTGTTGAGCCGTTGTGACATTTAGAATTTTTCTCGTTGCGTATATTCTAGCAGGACGAATCTGCCACACATCCTCAGATGAATCCAGTTTTCTCATGTTCGGTCAGGTACCAGAGGTTGCCCTTCATATGCCGTATCCACGATTGTTGCTGTCACACCAATCCTCAAATCCATATACTGAGGGTTCCTTAAATGCTTCCTCATGGGTCAAGAGAAGAATGTATTTTCTTTTACTGCCATCTTTCTGGTCATTGCGCTTCAACTTTCATTTAGTACAGTCATCACCTTTACCTTCAGATCTGCTGGAGAGAAAGCGAGGTAACACATTTCTCTCCAGGGCACAGAGATCCTTATCATTACCCAGTGATGACATCAGAGATGTCATACTGACGCTCAGTGACACACAGTGATGACATCAGAGATCTCACACTGACATTAGATGTGCTTGTGTTGTGGTTTTCATTCGCTTTAGGTACTTACAGGCAGAGTCACAAGACAAATTCTAAACTGTGGGAGAGTCTTGAGACTGTAATGAGATAACGTAGAATAACTGTCGTGTAATGTTATGGCTGTTTTGCCTTATGAAGGTGGTAACCATGCTTCAAGACTGCACATTCCACAGCTGCTTCCATTTACAAGTACGATAACCACACGGCACATAGAGCATTAACCCATTGGGGAAACAAACCACATTCAGACCTGTGCTCTGGAAAATTAACTATTAGCGGATATGGTGAATATGTCTAAATTTTTCTGTGAAATTGATTCTGCTTATTAATTACCATGCCCCAACAGTGAACAAAATAAATGGAATTCTCTCGAGAAACTATTTTAATCTAAAATCTTTTTTACTACTATAGATACCCCCATTATCAATAGATGAACTGAATAGCAGCATGTTTGTTTCACAGATGTAGAAGTTACCAGTAGAACAGTAAGTTGCTTTAAGTACTAATATGAATAATATGTATAGGTTGTATCTTTTATTTACACAATTGCATTTCTAAGGGCTTTGGTAAATATTTTCATTGATAGATATTGCTTATAACTTAGAGCTTTATTTAAGCATTCTCAACTGTCCAAATTGAAATGTGGAGAGCAAATAATGCAGGTTTTTTTCCATGAAAAATGACAGCCGGTACTGTATTTTCCCAATGTTTTCCTGTTATTAAAGGAGTATGATTTGTCAGCCCAAGGCACAGATCACTTTTGAATTTTAATCCTTTAATACTTTCCTAGCTTCATTTTTTTTGTTAGTGCTGAAGTAAAGCAAAGCAATTTTGTCACAGTTTGACTAAGATGAATATCTTAAAGCCAGTAAGCAGTATGCTTCTCCCATGATGTTGTAGAAGATAGTGCTTTTAAAGTCTGCCATTATGTGTTGCTTTCCATGTAAGTCTATCAGAATTGCTTCAGCTGTTTTGAATTTGAGTGACACAATTTAGTAATGTAATCATTATTTTCATTCAAATCATGGCTTTAAAGAAATGTGTTGTTGTTGGATTCCCCTTGCCCCACTCCCCCCCCCCCCACACACACCTTTGATCTCCTCTTTGCCTGGTCCAGAGCAGCCCTAGCACATACTTAATTTGAGCAGTCATTGACTTGGAAAATGTGACTTTTCAAGCCACTTAAGACTCCTAGGTATCTTAATTAATTAATAATAGGGACTTATTCAACAAGTGTACCACTTCTGAATGGCATATGTTAGTCATTGAAAATTTGAGGTTCTCAGAACTGGCTCCAAACACTCACTCCGTCCTGGGCAGAGCCTACAGCTGACTGCACATTAGATAAACAAGTCCCTTCAACCCTAAGGAGTGTTTTAAAAAGGCACCTTCGAGGGCATGGAATAACTGAGGTAGCTGTACCTTGTAATTGTGTTCAGGGGTACCATTTGGGATGGTGACAACTTGGGAATAGCACCAAACATGAGAATATAGGTTTTGCGCACACTTGCCTGATTCTCATGGGCTGCTTTCTTTACAGCAAGGTAAACAAAAGTGGTCAAATATAATTAGCTTTCCAACAGTACATGCTTGAGAATCGTGATTCCTTTCTGCCAGATTCCATTAGAAAACGTAGAGGTATTTGGCAGACCGTAATCACTTCAATGTGTAACAGATGTTGAAAATTTCCCCAAAGTTCAAAACTGTAATTTTGTAAAATACTATATACCTCGATTTCACACCTTGGCTATTTCCACATGGCTCCAAAACGTTCAGATTAAAAAGTTTAAAGTGTGGTTAATATTTGCTTGTTGAAGAAAGTAGAGAGACGGGTGGATGTTCATCAAAACGTTTAAGCGTTGTGCGGATAATGCCTTAACTTAGGGCAATTCTGTACATTAGCACTCAGTGACAACCATAAACTGTCATGGTATATGACTCTTGGCGACCATTTCTGACAGCCCCATTTCCACAGATGTAGAACATGAAACTCAGGGTGGGTAATATATTGGCAGTTCACGTACAGAACTGGCAGAAGAGACAAGTATCCCGACTCCTGCTTCAATAACCCCTTAATGTTTCTCACTCTTTCTTTCTTCTTCTATTTCAGTCGAAATTCTGAACAACAGAGCTATGGAGTATCAGGATCTCTCCGTGAGAACCTCCATATGGCCTTTCTATATATATTCTCATAGGTCTTCTACCAACACAAGAATAAGTGTGGTACAGTCAATATATTAAACAAAACCCACTTACCAACCAACAAAGTCAAACAAAAATACAACATTAACCAATCAGTGCAGATGTTAAAACATGAATAGAAAACTACCATTTATCTTATCTGAATTATTAGGTAGAACGTGACCGTAACATTTTGTCATTTGTTGCATTATTCTTTGTGATTTTCCAATAACAAATATGCTGAGTGAATCTCTACAGTGGACTGTTGGCTTACTGTGCATTCTTGGTGGATAAATGTTCATCTGTTTTGAAGTGTTACCTTACTGTTTTGTTTACACAATAGTCTATTGGGTTGATTTAGAATGTAGCAAATGTATCCAATACCGTTTTTCCCACTATTGTATTGTATTGTATTGTATTGTATTGTATTGTATTGTGGTGTGATGTGATGTGTTAGGTTTTTACATACTATAGTGTTTTCCTCTAGATGTGTGGTGTTTGATTTCAACTAAAATATTACTAATGGGAAGCAGAAATATCTGTGTTTAAAACCATTACAGATTAATATTAATATGCTTTCTCTCTCTTTAGAACATGTCTGTAGGTTTCTTGGGGCAGACTTTTAAAAGGCCTCACTTTTGAGTGTGCGCAAAGCCTGTTCATAAGCATGCATGTGTATAATTTGTACCTGCAGATCTGACCTTGCATAATACAATCACGTGAGTAGGTATTTTTTTGTGAGAGAGAAATAATTACCTGCAAAAAAACCCAGGAAACTTCTTGAAATATGAACCTCTAATCTCACTCCTTAAGAAGCTTGCAAAATTACAATTTACCTGTAAGTGAATTTCTCTGCATTTATCCTAAAAGAATTATGTAAGGTGCCCGTTTCATTTTTTGTGGTTCAAGGATCCTATCTCCTAGGTTGAGCATCTAAAGCTGAGCCATTTGTCAAATTCAGCTGAAAATTGTTACTTGGAGGCTTAAAGGTATGCTAATTGTAGGTTATAAATTAAACAGAGAGATGGAGGGGTAGAGATAGTTTTTACATTTTGGAGGAAAGTGTGTAAAAAAACCATTGCAATGTAACCTTTTACACAAGTGCCATTCTCTGAATACAAATGGCTCGTGCTCTTTAGACTTGTCTTTGAATAATAAGTAAGCTCCAATCTTGCAAAAGTCAGGGTGACGGAGATTTGATTCGAAGGGAGGCCCTTGTCCCCCAGATGGACAGTCTTCCAACTGATCACAGTTGGAGCCCGAGTATGGGTTTGGAGAAATGGTGGGGTGGCGAGGCGGGGTAGGAAGGCATTTTAAATTATTCTCTGATTTACTTAAAACTTATAGGAGGGCTGTCCACGATTGTCTTTAGCTTCCATTCGACTGAATCTCCACTTCTGCTGACCCCTTCAGTGAAGGAGCAGGTGCCTATGCCAAGTGCTGCCCTTCCCAGACTTGATTGACAAGAGTCTCTCCTATCATAACCCAGCCATTTGTTTGTTTCTTTATTTAGGTCTGTTGGTTTTATATGTATTTGAAAATTATAATAGAGAGGTTTTTAGCACCCTTTGGATGAAACAGACCAGCTATACCCCATAGAGCTGAGCTGAATTCACATTACTAATACTTATGAAAATAATTTATAACCAAGTAAAATAGTGATTCCTATGGCATGTGACGTAGCTCCTCCAGGTACTCAGCGATTAAAGTTCCTATTCTTACACCGTGCTGGAACCGTAGGATATAATATTTGCTACTAAATATTTATTCTTTCACTAGAAAGCATGCAATCATCAAATTTAACATGTAAGCCACGTTTATTTTCCTGCATGAAAATGGCAGGCAAAGAGAAAATTCCCACTTAGGATACCTTAAGCTGGCTAGCAGCATTTGAATCACAGAACGAAGGAGTTGGCAAACCCTTCTCACAATCGATGAAACCGAGGCCTAGGGCATGTGACCTGCTCAAGGCCACCTACCTACCTGATCGGTGACAGTAAGACCCTGAACAACTCTCCTGACTTTCTGTTGTTCCTCTGTTTCACATTGTGCTTCGGAACATTTGAGACCCCATCCCGAAGCAGATCAATATAGCTCAGGATACAAAAGAGCAAAAAATAGCTGTTTGGTATGTGATAGCCTGTTGTTCTTAATTCGGAATCCCAGATCCTGATCATCAGTAATTTCAAGATATTGTCATCTGTTAACAGTATTGCCTGGGGTTACAGAATAAGAGGTGTCCTGACTTTTACCTGTTGATTCCTTGAACCACTTAATTTCTGTTTCCCAAAATCTTAACATTCTTAGAGAAGAAAGTAGTGTACGCCTTTGTGAAATGACTTGTGTGTAGAGCTGAGTTTTGTGTAACTGTGCCAGTCCCTTTCCGGAAGGGCAGAGCTAATCCCACAAATCGGGGAAGGATACACCTGAGCCAGACTGGTTGTATTCCTTAAAGGGGTTAGAGATGTTTTCAGTGCAGAACGAACTCTTTTTGTGTCATTCGACGTTTCGCGAAAGCATGCTGTCTCATTTCACCTTTGAAACTCCTGGCGAAGATGCACATAGACAAGAAACCTAGAGAACAGCAGTGTTTCTGATGCTGTGAGCACTGGAAGACATCAGTAGTGACTTATTTTTTAGTAAGAGGGTCCGTGAAGGATATTCAGGGTAGTTGTAGATTTGGTGCCATAATATTTGATAATGGCTGGCATTTTACAAGTTGCTTTGTAAATGAATTTAAAGAAAGAAAACTCAAAGCACTAAAGTTTTGATCAGATGTGAAAGAACTTTGACAAAAAGGCAATTTTAAGATAGCACTCTTTAAACTAGTTGTGCAATGTCTTATTCAAATTATGTTTATTCAAGAAAAGAAGAAAGGAAAGTCATTAGACTATAAATTCGCAGTTCAAAAGCCAAGTCACAAGACTAATCAGTGACTCTAAACAACAATTTACTGGATGAATTGTATATATTAAATTCCAACCACTTGTGATTCTTAGTTAACATTTTATAAGCTTTGTATATGACAAGGGCTTCTATTCTTATTTATCCAAAATTATTGTCTTTGTCCACTTCTCTCACTCAGCCTTTTGTAAAATTAGGCCAGAGTACTGAAACTTGGATAAAACAGGTCAGGTATACAGAGAAAATCATCTAGAAGTTATCTGTTAAGAGGGTTTTAGTAGTATCCAAAATTTTTTTTTCAAAAGGCACTATGTGACCATAAGTATATTTTAAAGAGGGATAAAGATTAAATTAAAACCAAATGGATTCATAAAATTGCTACTTAAATACAGTATTTACTTTGAAAATTGGAGCATGATTCTCTGACCAGCTGTTGCGTTTCATCTCATTTGTCTAGACTAGAGTCTAATTTGTAGTTCGTTGTCATGTGAAAAGCCATCTTCTCCCTCCTCCATCCACCTTCGCCATCCGTTTTTTGAACACGTGAAAGCACTTTGATCTTGCCGTTAAGTGTTGTCCTCTTTTTGTCTCTTCTCCATTTCTACACACGTTTAAATAGAAGTAGGGAAATCTGATTCCCCAATTCTGTTGAATAGATGTAGGAAGATAGTGGCCTGATTTTTCATTGTACCAGTCAGTGCCTGTCAAAGGCACCGGAATGAATAGTATCGAAAAGAGTGTCACAACTTTTTTTGCAAACTTAGTTGATTGCATCATCAAACTGTCGATTTAATTACAAGATCTGGGTTCTGAGCACCAAGTCACCGATTGGTGCCATGTTTTCATTTTTCTTTTTTAGTTTTTAAGGTTTTCATTTTACTACGTTTTTTGTATCTAAGTAACTCATGAACTTAATTTTGAAGGAGAGTTAGAGAAAGTTGGATTTTACTACATGTATTCAACCCACCTAGATAGGTTTGACACTGATACTGAAGCATGACAACATAGAGATTATAGTCCATAGTTATTCTTTACAGCTCACAGTTTAAGAACAAACTTAACTTTATATACAAATAATAATTTTTAACTAATTATATTTAGTCGTTGCTTGAGCAACAAAACTACAACATGGCTACCTTTAGACACATTTTTTTGATAATAATTTTACTTGTGAACTATACATGGTTTTTGGCAGTATGAGCCTGTAGAAGGTACAGCTCAAAACTCAGAGAACAGATCTAGCGGAATTGTCCTTGAAGCCCAAATTGCCACGCAAACGCTGAATGTGTGTCCTTGTATGACTTTTGGATCAAAAAGTTTACAACACATGGATTCTAGGGTCAGCTTTATAGCTTATAGAATTTGTTGTGTGGATAGGGTTATTCCACAGTGTTTAGACTCCAAAACACAATTATTGCATTTATAATCTGTTACCTGACCTTTTTTCATGACATTGTGTTTTCCAAATTACCCCGTGCAGGAGGCGTAGCTGTCACGGCAAAAATTCTCTTTTCTGGAATTGTGTACTCACACAAATATATCCAAGTGAGGATTGAAGAATGATGAAAGCCTATTTTGAAATCAATTCCAATTTGTAAAACCACGCATAAAGATACTGTGGAATGACCCCTTAACAGTGTTTGAGAGGCATATGCTGCAGCCAACTGATGGTCTCAGTTAGGGTGCGACTGTGTGAGAAACACCTTTTTTGCACTTATGTACATAGTCCATGAACACTATGCTTGGAGTTTTTGTTTTTTTAATATAAGAAATCTGTGATAATAGTGGAAAAGTTAGTAAGATAGAGGTATTTCTAAGGCCTTGAGGAAGAGGGGGATTTTGCTTAAGAAGACGTAACTAAAGCCTGATGTTGCTTTGCTGTTGCGGAAGCTTTCTGGTTTGCTACAGGTAGGTCACCAAAAGAAAAGACTGGTAACGGGTAACAGGTCAACTTCAGCTAATAGCACTGACTGAAAGTGACAGTACTTCTTCTTTTACCAAGCAGGACCAGTAGCACAGATTGTTTGCTTTTTAAATTTACTCTCCATTGTAAACACGCACACACACACACACACACACACACACACACACACGCACCAGGCAGGGTTCTGGCAAAGGTTTTCTTTTTTCAGTGGTTGCAAGCAGTAAAACACCCTGTAAGTTACAAGATGGAGAGTTCCATTCTGATCAACAGAGATGTCATCTTTGATAGGAAACTCCATATTGAGAGGTATCAGTTACATCAATTAATACCCATTTCAGTGACAATCAAATTGTTAACATTCACCACTATTTCCCCCTTTAAAATCCTTATCCTAAAACCAAATCGGCAACCATTGAAAGACTTAATTTAACAATCAAGTGTGGCCAGCTTGGGGCATTTCGTTCCCTCTAACAACAACAACAAAATACCCCTGGCACAGCTGTTCAGTGGAAGCTGTTTTCTGACTTCCCTTTACCAGATTAGAAAGTGCTTCACTGTGCTGCTACAGCCTCCCACTGCTTGACCTAACAGAAGAGAACCAGTCCCAATCTTACATATGGAGCTGGAAAAGAATGTTTTAACCAGACCGCCCCTGACAATTGGAGCTCCCCTATCACGTACCAGTCACCATTTCACTTTTTGTCGTCTCCAGGCAATGAGGTTAGATGGATGACCATTGGTACTTGGAGTCTTTTACGTCTTGGGGTGTGTCACCCTCGCCTTGGAGAAGTTACCCACCCTGGGATTAAGGGAGTTGGTATTAGTATCACTTACCCATGTTGATGGTCCTCATTTACAGAGACAGGAAGGTACGCCAAAGCCAGCAAGCAACCAAGCCTTAACGGTTGTCCAATAGCTCAGGGCCAGTTGGTTGGCAATTTCTCTTTTTCTCCCTTCAGCCCTTAATCATTTAGAGTCAGCTGTACAACTAACAGCCCAACCGTCTGACCAGCATTTCCACTGGTATAAAATGTAAGCATTCATGCCTTCTGTAGTTAGGGACTCCCAACTCCAACCTCATCGCCAACATACTTTCCCAACTTACCCTGTGTTCTTGTGTTGACACTTCCTTGTGCATCTGTACGCCACGAGAATACATTGTCATGAGGTCAATAGACATGTAAGATTTTAAGTGAGGAATCATCTATAAAACAGTAAGAATGAACCTAGCAGCATCACAAAAGATAACCGATTAATTGATGGCATGTTGTGCACACTGACAGCCGTTGGGTCACGCTCTTTGGAGCTCAGACACAGTGGCTCTATCTCAGTAAGTCAAATTAGAGAATGAAGTATAAAAAAATGTGAATGACTCGAGGCCAAAAAGGGACGACCTTTGTAATTAAACCCGGGAAAGGGTTCAGTTAGACTAGTTCATACAGTTTCCAGAGCCTCCACCTGGCCTGGAAAGAACCATCCATTACTACTCCAAAGCAGGATTATTCCAGGAAATTTGATCTTTAAATAGAACCCATCCTCAATTATAGCATACCCGAAAGGAAAAAAATATATCACTATAAAATAAGCCACAACTATTTGAAAGTATTGCAAAAATTCTCACCTTCTACATTGTACACCTTCTACATTGTATTACTTTAATTAAAAAAAAAATACCTCTGTAACAAGACCTAAAAGTAACCCAACTTTAAGCCATGCTCTTTTCTCCCAAACACACAACCTAAAGATTTATCTGTCATAGAACTGCATGGTTGCAAAGCTTTATGTCTGTATACAGATGCTATTTGTTCATGATGGAAACCAAATTATTCTGTTGCTGTGTCTTTTGTGTCTAGCAGTTGAGAGAATGATCTGGCCATCATACCCTTGGGTTCTGGGGTTGCCCTTTTCAAAATACATTTCCTTTTATTATTACTGTTAGTGCTTGATTATTTGCAAATGAGCCATTTGTTATCACGGCCCCAAGTTACAGTCTTTTAAATGTAAAGAGTTTCCTAAATGTACTCTTTTTAAAAGAGCTTTCTGTAACGTTTGTATAACAACGTTCCAGTATGATGTAGAAAATGGAAGCACACGTTTGGGGCAGAAGATACCCGTGGAGAAGAAAATTATTAGCCACGTGCAACAATTAACAATTTAAATAATGACCACAATAGTTCAGAAATGTAAACTGTTCGCATCATATTTTGCCTCCAAAATGCAATAGTTCATTCCCTCAACTGCTATCAATAGGTTAGATGCTTTGACTTTTTTTCTGTTTTCCCCCCCAAATTATAGTGCTCTACTGCTTGTTTGTGTTTAGAAGTGTGCATTATGCAGTCATTTTAGTATGCTACTTCTGCATTGTTTATTTTTGGTTTTTAATAAAATGTGTAAATGTCTTGGTTATGTCTTTTTTTTATGAATCCATATTCACACATTAGGAGTTTACTTAAAAGCGACTCCTGTTCTAGTATATCAACCCTAATATTTAGTAATTCTAATACAAAATTTAAATTTATGATTTGGTTCAAAGATCTATTTCATGCATAGAAGAAATTTATTTCCAGATATGCCTTCAGTATTATGAATTATATAGATAATACATTCATTGTATTAGACATATTATTTCTTTGATAGTGAAGTTGCTAACACCGGAAAGGCACATTTGTATTTTAGTAAAAGAAAACTAAACATTTTGAGATAATGCTTACTGGCTTCTATTGTGCTTCAGAAATCCTGAGGCATTTTATAAGATACGTTATTAGAAGTTTGTATTTTCTGGTTATTCATCTCTATCTTGCATCTTCAGTGGAACATAGGAAACCAGTGTTGTTCATTTCATTTTTTTCAAGATGGGCATCAATGGTTTCATAACAATGAGATGCATGAATTTTTCCATCAAAATGTTTTCTCTCACTTAAAATTGGTTTTCTCCAACAAATGGCACTGGAATGAACACATAATGATTTTTCTTCTTTAAGAAAGCAAAATGTAACTTGGTAATATTTTATTCTGACAGATTTCTAAATACTTAAAAAACGCTAGTTGGGAATTTCTCTGGATTGGCCACTGTTTGGTAGTCGGGCTGGTAGAAAACTCAGGTGAAGAGGCTTTGGCTGAGATGAGAGGCTGTGACAGATTAAAGTATTCTTCACGTGTCTGTAACTGTGCAAAGAGCCAGGGAGGAAATCCAGTGTCGGCCGAATCATACAGAGCTAAGAGCTCCCTTGTCCCTTGTGCCCTGCTTTACTCTTTCTGCTGCGTGTGCCTCCCACTATGGCACTTCTCGGTAAGCCGACTTTGAGCCCGTGGGCGTGTGGTACATGTTTCTGTGAGTCTCTGGTAATCCCAGTATGAATACCAGTTCACTTGGACATTTACAAAAGGTCTTTGGCCCCTTCAGAATCCAGTTTATGTTTTCCTCTTCGAAGCTGCTGAATGATAAGCATTCAGGGCAGGCATCCCCAACCACAATCAAAATGGAGTTTCTCTTGGCCAGAGGGAAGTTGACCCACAGGCAAAACCGGATATGGATGTAAAGGTTAGCGTGATGCTTTTCAACCTCTTTGTTCAGCTTTCTTCTAAGAGTCTCTCTGTGGTGGCTTCTGGCTCCCTAGAAGCCCCAGGTAGCAACTTGTCGGGCCTGCTAACCCGGACAAATCTGGGCTTTTTTCCTTCGGAACTTCCCTGCTGGGCACCTCAGGCTATGGAGAGTGGCTCCGAGCTGAGATCTAAGAGACCACTCAGGCTATGGTTTTAGACTGGCAGTGTTTGTGTGCTGCCCCCTGGGAGTGTTTGTATTTTAAAAGGCATGACTCCAGGCATCTGGCTGGCTCAGTCAGTAGAGCCATGCGATTCTTGATCTCAAGTCGTAAGTTTGAGGCCCACGTTGGGTGTAGAGTTTACTTAAAAAATAAAAAGGCATGACTCTCCAGTGGTCAAATAGCAGACAGCCACTTGCCTAGACAGGGATGTATGTTTTTACTGAAACAAACAGCATTTGGGCAGCGATCAAATTCCTATGGACAAGTGGTACCATCATTTACGACCTCAAGAAGGCCAAAAAAGAAGGCTCTTGTAATTCTGTTATTGTCAGGAAAGTTCTATAATAGCCCAAAATAGTGACAAGATAGTAAACATTGCACAGTTCCACGGGCCAGAATCCACTCACGTGGTCAGCATCTGTAGTAAAGAGCATGACCTGCGATAAGCCTGACGCGTGATCACATTTCTGTAATCGCCTAATGCCTATACTTGCTAATATTCAACAGATGGACACACATACTGAGATTTTTTTTTTCTTTAGTCTTTCTTGTCCTAGAAATGCTCATCTAACCGAGCCCTCCCAGATTTTCCTTTCAGTGCCTGGATTTACACTTCTCCCTTAGGCAGGAAGACCATGGATATGTGGGGGAACAAAAGCCAAGAGTGGTAATGATAGAAAGGCCAGCCACCTGGATGGAATGGTGAGGTTTGTGACAGGAACAGGAGGTCCGGTTCCTGTCTTTAGAAACAGAAGCCTGAAGCAAAAGCATAGCCTTGCAAAGTGGAAATCAGAATAAGACGCAATCTGTGTAAGAAGAAACTTGTGGTCAGCGCAGAGGCAGGCAGGGCATCTGGGGCAAAGCAGAAGAGACGCAGGAAAAACCATACATTTTCCTGATGCGAACGAGGGAGGTTTTCCCCCATGAATGATTCAGTGCATTGCATGGATGTACAACTACAAAGAGAGAAATCGGTGAAAGATCACAGAATGTCAGTGGTTGAACAGCGACAAGCAGTGGCAACAGCACCTGTTAACGCAGACAGCCTGTTGATTACCGACAGGACTTGAGAGAATGCAGAAGGGATCTGAGGAGTCTCTGCCGTCAGCATGCTTCTAAGTATTACAGCCACAGAAGATGATGGTCAACTAACTCATTGAGGATCAATGTAGGTCTCAAGAAGAGCGGGGGGGAGATTAAGATCGGGACTGAGACTTTGCCTTTAGCCTTCATGACCTGAAGAGTTGAACAATTCTTTCTTGGGGAAATTGGCAGTTAAGAAAGAAACATATCTGTGTTAATTTTATACACACACACACACACACACACACATATATGTAGTAAGTGGTTATTGATGTGCCTTTGTTAAACTATTTAATAAACGTGTGTAGTTCAAAGTGTTTGGGTTCTTCTCAATTTCTATTTACAAAGTCTCATGTTAAAGAAACCCGTTTATGGGTTGTTATACAAGGAAACACCTGAGCTCACCTGAATCCAGGCACTCAACGGTCACAATTTAGGGGTCCAGGTAGGGGCTACTAAGAAAACGAGGCACCTCTGTTAACAGTAACACCTCAGCTCAGTGGCTGTTCAGGGCCTCGCTGAATATCAAGCAAGTGTTGACCACAAACTGAGCACTGGCCAATGGTAGAGACCTCTATAATAAGCAACTCCTTTCCCCTGATGGACATCGTCAGAGATGCTGTAGATCCTGAAGATGCTTCGGACCTCAGGAGTCACTGGGATGAGATTGTGGGGCCAGAGGGGAGGGGCACTCAAACCGTTCAGGAAAAGTGGCGCAGGAGTGTCAGACATGCAGCCACAACCACTACTGTCGTCCTCTAGTCTCCACATCCTGGAGAAATGTCCCTGTGGTAAAAATAAAGATACACAGGTCCAGATACTGTTAGGGGGCTTAGGGAAAGGTCAATCCAAGAATAACGTTTGAGTAATAACAGAGCAAGAAAACCCTTAAATAGTATTCTAAGATTATTATCCTGTCCACAGTTAGTGCTATACCACTTGACCCATCTCCCTCCCAATCTGCTCTCCACATTCCTACTGGGATCATTTTTCTAAGATCGAAAATTCATTATTTCGCTTCCCTGATTTAAAATCTTCCAGACTTCTTCACTGCCTTAGGGGATAAAGCCTACACTCCAACACAGCAATCTTGGGCCTTGGGCTTGCTCTCAAGCTTCCTCTTTCCCCTTGCTTTCTGTAACAGTACAACTCCAGACGAACCAAACCACTCTTGGGGAAATATAATTAAAAATGAGATCTTCCAACCCAAAAATCCTCTCCACAAAGGCAGTAGTGAAAGAAAACAGAATGAACATTGAACCAAAATGGGATGCACACCCTAGGCAATCCACTAAGAAACTGCAAAGCCAGAAAGGAATCACCCCCTTATCTAGCCACGCAGATACAACCCATTACAGACATGTTTTCAAGATAAATGGTAACTAGTCCTCAAGTAAGAGGACTCACAGCACCTTTTGTCACTCATAGTTCGCCTTAACTTTATAGTGTAACTGGGGAGACCACCTCCCCAGTTGACTTTACCCGTAGGAGAAACAAACTTTTCCTATCTTTACCTCAAAGAGATAGTTTTGCAAATTGGAGGCAGGTCCCCAGAAGTTAGGCTGTGACCTCCCTCCAGGAATGGAGATCTGGGGCTTGATTGCCCTTGATGTTTGCATTTCAGAGAGGTGACTCCCAGGTCCTTGAGGAAGCATGGGAGATTGTGAGGCTACTTTAAGGCTTATTTAGCCATTACCAAGATTTACATACACTTGAAAAGGACACAGAAAGAAATTTTGTAAGAAAAGAGAGAGATGAGGGAGAAGTCTCTTCCCTTATTTCCAACAAGGAAAATTAAGCCTCTTCTTTTTAAAAGTTTATTTAGTTTGAGAAAGAGAGAGACAGCATGAGTTGGGGGGGAGGGTGGATAGAGAGAGTGAGAGAGAGAGATCCGAAGCAGGCTCTGCGCTGTCAGTGCAAAACCCAATTTGGGGTTCGAACTCACGAACCATGAGATCATGACCTGAGCTGAAATTAAGAATCAGACACATGGGGCGCCTGGGTGGCGCAGTCGGTTGAGCGTCCGACTTCAGCCAGGTCACGATCTCGCGGTCCGTGAGTTCGAGCCCCGCGTCGGGCTCTGGGCTGATGGCTCGGAGCCTGGAGCCTGTCTCCGATTCTGTGTCTCCCTCTCTCTCTGCCCCTCCCCCGTTCATGCTCTGTCTCTCTCTGTCCCAAAAATAAATAAACGTTGAAAAAAAAAAAAAAGAATCACTTAACCAACAGAGCCACCCAGGGAACCCCCAAGCCTCTTATTTTTAATTTGTATTTGCCCTTACACCACTCATGTTTCCCAGATACATACCATGGCTTCTCATACCTTTGTGCTCTTTTTCTCTCCACTTGAAACACCTTCCCATCTTCTTCCTCCTTTTCTTTGAAAACTCATTATTCAAGGTATATATCAACTATCAAGTCTCTTGAGGTCTTCCTTGGCCTTGCCAGATACCACTGAGATGCAGCTAATATTTATTCAGTGCTTATCAAATAATCTCAAACCTCAGTAGCTACCCCCCTGTACCCTTCTGGTATTGTCTATATTCCTCCTCTGTTAAACGGGGCTTCGCAAAGGCAACAACCAGGTTCGTATCCCGCATGATGCCTTGAACAGTAGCCACACAGTAAACGCGTAATAGATTTTTGGAGAAATAACTAGGGCATCAGAGCACTTTTATTATAAAAAATAAAGCTTCATTCAAATAAAAGATTTATGCAAGGATATAGGGAAATTTCACAAATTCCGATCGCAGGAAGAACAACTGGGCCTCACGTAACTGGAAAGTTATCAGGGAGCTTGTTTCTCCTCTTTCTGTGTGTATGTCTGTGCCTGTCTCTGTCTTCTTTTCCATTCTCTCTCTCTCTCTCTCTCTCTCTCTCTCTCTCCTCCAGTCTCCTACTTCTCTGCAAACCAGGTTTCTATGCCTACTTATCACACTCCTGTGGTTGATCAGGGCTACTCCCAGAATGGTAGTCTTATCCTGAGTCCGTATCAATGATAACCTGCACCAGAAGCACCTGGAAGGCTTGTAAAACATAGATTGCTGGGACCCACTCAAGAGCCTCTGATTCAGTAGATATGGGATGAGGTATGAGAATTTGCATTTCTAACAAGTTCCCAAACAATTCTGATAATCTGGGGGCACAGTTTAGGAATGATCTACTTGAGAGGCACCCGGGTGGCTCAATCAGTTAAGTGTCTGACTCTTGATTTCAGTTCAGATCACGATCTCATGGTATGTGAGTTCAAGCCCCACATAGGGCTCTGCACTGAGAATGTGGAGCCTGCTTGGAATTCTCTCTCTCTCCCCCCCTCTCTCTGCCCCTCCCCCATTTGTGCCCATGTGTGTTTTCTCTCTGTGTCTTTCAAAATAAGTAAATACACTTTAAAAAAAAAAGGAATGATCTACTTGACCTTCAGGCTTGGTTCCCCACAAACAACTGACTCAGTCACTGGGCCCCAGTGCCTGATTCTCATGAGAGAATTTGATTGGTGAGTCAAATGTTCATCCCTATAACATTCAGTTGTGTCCAAAAGGCTGGAGTCTCATGGTACATATGAAAGGTTGCCTCCTTGAGGCTGTGGGCTGGGAAAGTTTTCAAAGGAGGTGGGTCTATAGTACAGTCACCTCCATGGTTCCTTTCAAAGCTATAAGAATTTCCACACGGAGGGGTGCCTGGGCGGCTCAGTTGGTTAAGTGTCCGACTTCGGCTCAGGTCATCATCTCGTGGTTTGTGAGTTCGAGCCCCATGTCGGGCTCTGTGCTGACGGCTCGGAGCCTGGAGCCTGCTTCAGATTCTGTGTCCCCCTCTCTCTCTGCCCCTCCCCCGCTCGTGCTCTGTCTCTCTCACTCTCAAAAATAAATAATAAAACATTAAACTATTTTAAACAAGAATTTCCACACTGAACTAGCTCCTGGGTCTATAGAGTTCACTTCTCCATGGCCAATAGAGCCAACAAGGACTTAATGGCCTATTGGGCATCCGCAGCCACTCATTTCAAAGTAAACCTTTACTCTCATCCCTAAACTCATAATCTCTCTCAAACATGCGGCTTCTCCACCCAGTTGTCCAAGCAAGAATCCTGGGAATCACCTTTGACTCCCTGCCTCCATACCCAGTCTATCAAGTCCTATCAATTCTATCTCTGAGTTGTTTTCTCTATCCCCACCATACCTGGTTAGTTGAACTTGACAGCCCGCCTCCAGTGTCATTTTCCCCCAGTGTGTTCTTCACACGACTGTCACAATGATCTCTCTAAGACAACTTCCCAGTCTCACCTCTTGGGACAGCTGTGATGGGTCAGGAGCAGCTCACAATGCCAGACAAGACTTCTCAGGCTACGTGTACTATGATGGACTATGAAAAACAATTGGGAAGCTCTGATCTAAAACACAAGTTTGACTATGTAACTCCTCTGCTTAAAACCTTTCAGTCACTCCCCATAGGTGTCAGGATAAAGCCCACACACACCTTACAATAGCCTATAACATGTGGCATAATCCAGTCCCCATCTACCTCTCCAGGCTCATCTCTCGCCACTGCCTGCCTTGGACTTGCTTCTTCAACAGCAGGTAGATGTTTGTAGTTTCCAAAACACGACCTGCTGTTTCATGCCTGCAAGCCATTGCTCACGGTTTCCTTTCTGCCTGGAATGTCCACCCTCCCCCTTTTTGCCTGCCTAGCATCCTTTGAGACCAGGATAGTCCCAAAGCACCATATCCCTCAGGAAAACTTCCGTGTCTGCTTCCCACCTCCACTAGTGTGCCTCTCTTTGAAACTCTCGCAATACCTTCAGCATAAAACTGTCGTTGGATTTACCACACCGCATTAGAATATTGTCCGCTTCTCCTACTAGCCTGGGAGTGTCTTGAGGACAGAGTCTGTGTCTTATCCATGGCTATATTTCCAGCACCTAACACAGTGATGGAAAAGTATTATCATACATCTCAACAACGACAAAAAATAAATGACGATCCAAAAACGGACAAAGGAAGGACTTGAACAGATATTTCGCCAAAGAAGATATACAATTGGCCAATAAACACATGAAAAACGCTCAACACAATCAATCATTAGGGAAATGCAAATTAAAACTACAATAGGTTACCACTTCGCACTCACTAAGATAGGTGTCATTCAAAAAATGGAAAGTAGTGTTGATGATGATATGGAGAAATTAGAACCCTTGTGCATTGGCTGGTAGTCATGTAAAATGGCACAGCCATTATGAAAAACAGTCTGGCAGCTCCTCAGAAAGTTAAACAGAATCATATGAATCAGCAATTCCACACCTGGGTACATGCCCTAAAAATTGAAAGCAGGGACTCGAACAGATACGTGTACACCAATGTTTACAGAAGCATTTTTACAATAGCCAAAATGAGGAAACAATCCAAGTGTCCATTAACAGATTAATGGATGAATAAAATGTAGTGTGTGTGTGTATATATATATATCATATATATATAATATATATGATATATATATACCATGTGATGTATATACATACATACATATATGTGTGTATATATATATATATACACATATATATGTAATGGAATATATTCGGCTTTTAATAGGAATGAAATTCAAACGCATGCTACAACATGGATGAAACTTGAGGACATTATGCTAAGTGAAATAAGCCAGACACAAAAGGGCAAATAATGTATGACCTCACATTAGGTCTTAGAATAGGTAAATACATACAGACAGAAAATGCAACAGAGGTTACCAAGGGTTAGAAAGAATAGGGAGTTATTGTTTAGTTGGTAGAGAGTTTCCAT